GATAACTGACTTGTTTGCTTAATAAATTATTTGAGGAAATAACACATAACAAATAACACAACGCGCAAAATATTTTAAAGGAAAACAGACTGTTATAAAGTATTTATTACTTTTGTGTAAATATACCATTTGACACACTTTAAATTCATTCAAATACTTTTTTCATGGCAGAAATATATGTGCTATAAAAATTGTACTGTGCTCAAAGTTTTACATATCAATTATACTTCTAAAGTGCTAAAGTCGTTTTCTCTGAATTTTGGTGAAGATTCTAAACATGTTACATTTTATATCCAGCTAGAATGCAGGTTAAACACAAATCAAATAAACTGAAACAGCTTTTATCCTGAAATTTGACGTTATTCTTTTAAAATAACAATTTTTATAAATAATCCCACTACTATTTTAAAATACGATAAAAGTAAGGAATAGATTTTTCTTCGCCTTACGCACACAATCATTTCAAGACTATATATTTTCCTTGGCTGGTCTACACTTTTATTTCACGTGTTAATTGTCGACCATAGTTTATTTGTAAAGCTCGATATAAACTCATATCTTTACGGTTTTATTAGGTTGCTAACCCCCTTCAGTCTCATTACATGCAAAACTGTGTCAAATTACTCAATCCAGCGGTTGTAGGCCGATCATAAGGTCGAATCAGTGTTTGTTATTACTTCTATATATTCTGTACTTGTTTATAAATCAGCCTTGTTTCACGACAGATGCTCACACAGGTGGTTTGAAAAGCTACGGTTCACTTTTAGAGACGTTGATTGAGGACAGCTTTTTGGCAAAGGTCCTCATTGATATAACGTATTGTTTGAAATGTGTTTGTACAATACTAAAATAATTTATTTTTGTGTGTATCTATGTAAAACATCAAATATCTTATTTATTTCTGTTGCTTGCATTCGGTAGCGTCCAATATTAGAGCAACGAAAATAAGCTTATAATATTTAATGTGTACTTTTGTCAGTGGTAGCGGGTAACGTTTTGGCAATCTATAATTAACACAAAGAGCGTCTGTGAGTAGGTCTGAGATATAACATTAGATAATATTAAACGAGTGTATGGTAATTAATAATTTTCGTTGAAATCAATAGATACTAGAAATTAATAAGAAACCTATACATATAATTATAGGCTTTTGCATGATTTGTAAGTCTAGGTAGTTGCAGTAGTAGTAGTAGTAGTTTATTAATCTAATAGGAACAAACCCAATTGTAGGACATTACAGAAATAATACATACAAGTAAAAATTAAAAAAGTTAAACACATATTATCTAAAAAAAGTAAGTGCAATAATATAAAGAGACTGCAAAAAACGTACTTAAAAAAATAAAATATAAAAAGTTATAAGCGCAGATTGTAGGCAGTCTTTAGCAGCTATTGTAACGTTGAAACATTTGTATCAAACATATCAGATAATAAATTTAAATTAAATGTTATTATGTACAGGTGATTCTGGGTTAGTACTAGCAAATTGGCAGTAAAATATTGCATTAGATCTGATTGACAAACGAGGTATAGTCTTTCCGATATCAATTGAAAAACCTAGACGTTGACAGTATGTACCAGGTTCGGTCGCTGACTCAGCAACTCGGCATTGAAATATTTGAAAAACTTGTTCCCATATTTATTTAACTATACCCATATACACGTCTGGTCGAACTAAACGTGGTGGTGGTAGAAATGTATACGCCCAGTTGAAGAATGCGAGCGCGGGCAAACGAAATAAATCTCAGCTGTTGACAAGTGTTGACAAATTGCCCAGCAGTGCAGTGCAACAATGCGGAATTTGGGGCGATTCAGGTAATTTTAATTTTTTATAGGCACCTTCTATTAATCATTGATATTACAATTACGAAAGGGAGGAATAATATTATTACAACATGGCATTTTGGAGACCCTTTGAAACGAAATTTACCATCAATATAATAAAATTGTTTGTCATAAATATTTAAAATATGTTGTTGGCCAAATGAACATATAATAGAAATTTTCTACACATTATAACAACTTATTATAATTTTTAACCTTTAGGGACGCCTATGAAAGTCATTAAATTTTATTGCCAGGCATTTTTTTACATGTTCAACTGACTTCGAAAAGACAATACCAAGAAATTAAGCTGAGAAAGAATATAAAGACAGTCAAATTATGTAATAGGTAGTAAAGAAATCTGACAGAACATACAAGTCTTCTTTTTTCTAAGAACTGAATATTAGACCTAGTTTTTAATATATTATCAATATCTCATGCCGGATAAATTCCATCACATCTAAATGAAAGATACATATTTCAGAAGCATTCTCTGAATAGATTTAATATTGTCAACGTAACAGTCTTAATATAGATGCCAAACTAAGCAGCATTCAGCTTAGATCTAACAAAAAATATATTTTTAAGGTGTTAGCCGACCCAGGTTTGAACCCTGGGGAATCCTCGATGTATCTATCTATGTATATATGTCTTATATTAGAAACCATTAAATGGAATATAATTGTAATTGTAATGTTGTTGTATTAAATGGAACATACTATAAAGATTTGAACGAAAAAACGTAAGCAGTTCGTCAATAAAACAGAATATTTTAAGTTTTTGTAGCAAAATCGAATGAAGTATCTTGTCGAAAGCCTTAGAGAAAAAATATCTGAGAGAAATTTTGTAAAACATACAAGATTAGAAGTAGTGGATCTATGGGACATAAAGCCATGTCGATTTATTGAAAGTAAGTTTTCTTTACAGGAAAGTATATACGATTATACTGGGTGATTCACAACTTATCCAAAAAAATTTGGGAATAGATGCGGCATGAGAAATGGAGTTAATAACGTAAACAAATTTTTGTAAAATCCTTATAGTTTCCGAGTAAAAAATTATTGAAGTTATAGTACATTCAACCACTACATAGCTGGACAACTGTAGTCTCTAGCGTCATTCGCAATACGCGTGGAGAGCCATGTGACTACTGAAATCCGTCGTTGCGGTAGTTTTTACCTGTTATCTGTAATGTTTGCAACAGTTTTTTAGTAGTTAGTGTCAAAAATGGTTTGCGTGTATAGCAACTCAGAGTTGATGGATATCGTTTTAATTTATGGTGAAGCAAGACAACATTTGTATTATGGTGAAGCATTTGTGTTATGGTCAAGCAAGACATCATTTGTGTTAGTTCGTAGAAAGTGAGTAAGACGGACTCAAATGTGTTTACACGTTAGTGGATAAAATTTTGAACAATTGTTGTAACATCGGGTATGTCAAATGATTTTATTATTTAAAAATACAAATTAATTTTATTAATAATTAATAAAGGCAAAAGCATTTGAATTTGCCGATATAATTTCCTTGCGAAAGTTTTTGTCCGTTCTTATCACACCGCCATGCCGGTCGCATTGTGCGAGGTCAGGTTTTACAGTGGACCAGTTTCCAGTGCCGGGCAGAAGTATATTTTTAATGTGCTTTTTGATTTTTTCTTTACAAAATTGTATTTGTAAGGGTCCCTGAACATCCAGAATTTTTTATTTGGATAAGTTCTGAATCACCCCGTATAGTGGAATCTCGAAAACTTTAGTTATTTAAGATGGTAATAGGACGATAGTTCGCTACATCGGTAGAGTCTCTCAACTTTAAAATTGGGCATACACTAGCTCTCTTCCATAGAGATGGAAAGATTGACATTCTCAAAGATAGATTAAACATAATATATAGTGGATATAACGAAATGTAAGCACAATATTTTACTAATTAACTCGGTACAAGATCTGGACAGCAGATCTGCTTGGTTTTTAATCGTTTAATTAACAAATTCTAAGGTGAATTTACTACACGCAATTGAATAATTTAAAAATAGTTCTAAATTTGTTGGTTTTACAAGAAAAAAATGTTTAGGTGTAAATTCAGTTTGATATATAATGCAGGTACTTACTCATTAAAAGTCAAGAGAATTCAATGTCGCAGAGATACCCTTTGCTATCCTCTAGAAAATTTTAAAACTTCTGTTGGTGAAAGAAACAGTTTTAGATATATTTTCGATTTAGATATATTTTCTATCATCACTGTTTGAGAATATTGTATAAAATTAAAAAACTTTTATAACCTATTTTATTACTTAAATTTAAGTTTTACTGATGTACGTCAAAAATTTTTGGAAATAATTTAAGTTTAGAGTATAAGCAACTTTATCATTGAAATAATCTAAAGAATCACCTGAAAATGGTTGAAGATATTGGGCATAATACAAGATCCTAATAGATAATATTTTTATATTATCTAAATAATGCATTGATTTAAAATTAAAAATATATGTATTACAAATAATTCAACAAAATATATTATTTCATACCATAAAACTATTATTATACTATTTAAAGTAATATTATATAAAATCAGCTGTTGAACTTCTTATATAAGATATTTCATTGATTAACAGAGCATTATTTGGTGCCATACTTTCCATTTCAAATTATATTATTTAGTTCATATATCTCATCAATAAATTATTACCAACAAACAAGAAACTTCGCCAATCATAGAATTCCGATAAAAATTTGTTCCTATTTATTTTTTTTTCTACTATTTTTAAGAGAAACTTAGATACGCGTACACTTTTCATCCGGTTTCTCTCATGAATAAAATAAAAATATTAAACTTTATTTAAATATATTTAGTTTCGTCCAGAGCAAAATAAGAAAGTGGGTAACCTAAATATTGTGTGCAGTGCGTACGTAACACAATTCCGCTAAATAATTTATTTTAAGACTGTTCCACCTGTGAAAATAAAAAAATGAGTAGACAAGCCAACAATCGTAAAATTTAGTATCGTGGTAAGCCACAAAAATTTCTACGCGCCAGACACTAGGTACACAACTTATGCCACAAAAATGCGTAGAAAAATATGATTTCAATATTTTCAAAAACTATTTGGTTAGCACTGTAATAAACGATTAAATTATTACTTTTACAAATAATATACTAGTAATGGTGCCCTTTATACTTACAAATTAACAATGAAGGGATGTCTAATTTCTTCTAGTATGTGTTTTTCATTTTTTACATGCTCCACTTGTTTTAGTCTTATAACATCTGCCAAACAAAGTATCTTCATGGCTCCATATTGGTCTGTTTCTTTGTTTTTGCATAGTAGTACCCTCCCAAAGGTACCTGTCCCTGAAACAAAAAATTAAAATTAAATAAATAAAATATAACTCAAATTCACATCAAATCGATCCATTAACAAATTTTTTAATCTTTCCATTGTTTTTTAATATTTTTCCTTTAGAATTTTAAAAATAGAGTAGAATATATTATCAACTAAAAATAAAGTGAAGCGATAAGTAAGTAATGAATAGACGATTAAAATTGAATTAAAATAGTATTTGATTACATTTTTCAGAAAATTTAAGCTGTCTGTGTAACATTTTCAAATATTAATTGTAACGATGAAAATACGTATGTAGGTATTCTATCCCCTACCTAAACATAAAACCAATATAATTTATATAAAAATTCATTCGTTTATTTATTTTCCTTAGTTATATTAGTCTTTCGTGCAGGACTGAATTGCCGTTCCTGATAATTACCAGACATCTAGTGGTAAAATGTATGAGTCTAGCTTTAGTATATTTATTTATTATTTATGTGAAATGATGGTGAAATCCCGTTCCGATAAATTAAGAAACATATTTTTAGCGTTTACATAAAATCGACTAGATTCAGACTGCTCGACTAGGGATAACCTAAATATATGTCTATCAGTTTTATGGGTGTCTTTCTTCACCACAACATTTATAAATACGCTCTCCTAAGAATAACTTCTGCCACTGCTAAATCGAAAAGTGTTGAGTACGCATATGTTAACTCAAATAAAATCATAAAATTATGTGAGTTATCAAGTAAACAATGTATACAATTTGGAAAAAATGAGTATAAGTTCTAGGAAATGTTATTAGAACATTGGGTCTAATTCTAATTTTGAACCCATCTAAGTGATTTCATAATGAGATTCTCGTTGATTGTAATCTGGGTATTTCCAAAACACCATTGGTATTGTATTTTTCTTGAAAACCAATTTATGTTAATTGAATGTTGTTTAGCACTATGTAATTATTATCGACGTATTACATAAACTGTTTACCTGAATATACCCACGATTAGGCAAAATTTACACGAATACATAAAACATATAAAAAAGTTTAGTTGAAAAATTATAACTATTTAAGTAACTAATTGTAAGTAAATTATATATTTCCAAATATTCTTTCTAAAATATCAAATATGTTCATTATTATTATTTTTATTAAGTTAATTGAGACATAAAATTATTATTACGATCAAACAGGGTGCCCCGATTTTAGATTTAAAAAAAAATGTGGTGGTAGTTACAGGATGTTTTTCATAATTATCTTTCAATCCACTAAAGATGTCAAAGTTTGTACACAAATTTTATGTCCATTAGCATTAGCGTGGATACGAGTAATTTGTATGGTATAATTGAAGGAAATTATGTTAGAAACATAGAAAAAAAATAAAAAAAATTATGTTACCATGGATTCAGTTTAATTGATAATACAAATTTTAAATTGTCACAAGATGTCAAAACAACTTTATTAACTTTTGGCATAATGTATGCTCAGTATAGTTTAAATTGCAATTGACGACAAGCATTTGGTAGATAGAGAATGTAGATGAATAGAGTGATGATAATCCAAAAATCATTTATTAGGACCTGTTAAGCATCCGCCATGTTTGTTCAACAGGGTATTGGAATTTTGTTTACCACAGTAATTTTTTCCTAGACTGGTACATAGAAGAACATGACGGGTCATTTCAGGATTCCCTATAATATTTTGTTTAGTTATTAAATTATGTCATTGTACTTACAAATGTGTTAATTTTAATGTTTGCTTTCTGTCTTTAAACAGCTGTTCGTTGCTGTAAAATGGTTCAGCAAATTTATGAAAAGTTGATTAGAATAATAAAACTGTAAATTTTTAAAAATATGAGGAAACTAAAATTGCTAAATGATTTCTAAATTCTGAATATGATTTTTTCTATTATTTCTTAAACTTTGACGAATATTAAAATTAAAACATTGTGTCTTTATAATCTTAAACTTAAAATATGAGTAATTTCCATTTTTTTAAATTAATTAATTAAATTCGTAAAACTATTAATAATTTCATTGATAACAAAATTTTTCATATGAATATTTTTTAATTTACTTATGTCGTTTTCTGTGACGAATGAGGATTTCTTGAAAAAAAACTAATACATCTTTTTCTGTATCGTCCATTTAACGTATTTCTCCATCAGCTATACCCCTCAAGCAAACCGCTTCGACGCCACAGCTATTGGAAGTAAAATGGCTTGCAAGTTTTTCTTAAGACGCAGTTGATATTTATTCGTATATGAAGGAAGTTGACATGTTATCTACAGGCCAATGGAAAATAATTAAGAGAAAATTTCTTCATGGCAACGACTTCACCTGGCATCTCGAAAAAGCAACGAAATGCGAAAAGAGTTATATGAATTAAACCATTATTTTTCCAAAAGGAATTCAGCGTCCAGTTTCTTGAAGTGTAAACTATACAACTATAGGATTACTTGTTTTAATTGAATAAATATACATATAGTTGATCAATATAGTTCTTTACGAATAAATCAAAGTCCTTTTCCAACAAACGTATTTGCAATTTCTCAACTATCAAACCGAGTAAAGCAGTTGGTGATTAATATAAATTTTGAAGTGCATAATTCGAATTCCGTAACTTTGTACAACCGATTTATTTAGAAAAAAATATTAACATATCACTTGATCTATCCTTTAATAACGTGTCAAAGATTGTTATAAATAAACAGTAGTACTATTATGGCGTTTACAACGGTAAGTCATAAAACAAGTTACAGTTAATTTTTGCTACGCAGGCATATTTATCTCTTTTAGTTAGTAGTAGCAGTAAATTTACTTCTTTTTTTATTATTCTAGTTATTTCCTGGACAATATCGAAAGCTTGAGGAACTCAAGAGAAGTTTTGAAAACTGCTTACTCACTACATGTATTACAGGGTTACTATAAGGTTCGTATAAATGGCTTCTTGGCACCAGTATAATACATCCATTGAGTAAAACCAAATCTCGATAAATAAATATACCTGGCAACTGTACATATTCAATAAATTAGCGTATTTATCTTTATTCCAGTTTTAAACGTTCTTGGCACATATTTTGCGAAAGTAAGGAAGTTAAGAACCAAAATTTAAGTAGATTAAATAAATACGCATTAGCCTCCCACTGCACTGCTTAAAAAATAACAAACCAGTGATCCAAAAAATTCCCGGACAAGAAAATAGATTTGCCGATGACTAACCAATTACAATTATACCATGCTTGGTTTACATTGCATGACCAAATGGCAACTAAATATCGTTTTTAATAGCCATGTAATTTATGTTCCGCAGTCTGAACATTGAACATTTTACGTAGCAGCGTACTAGATGCTTTTGTCCTTCTATGAGTGGTTCCAAAAAATAATTCTCAATTAAAGCGTTATAGAAACTAATGATCCAGAAACACATCCTACCTCAATGACTACTTAATTGAGTCCAATTTGAAGGTAAAGTTATATCTTTGTAAAAAACTAATAATAATAATAATAATTGATTGATTGATATTTTCGTTACCGTGATATTGTATTATTAAATTAAGGAAGTTTCCGTAGCAGTTATTTAGTATCAAGTCTGATTCCTTAACAAATGGCCAAGAAAGCTTATTATATGTATATTCATGACATACAGGGTGAACAATTAACAATGAACCAAAGAGAAGGAGAAAAATTTTCGGAGTAAAATATGAATCTCAAATAATGTCTAAATATGTCTTAATAAAATGTTTCTGTGGAAAATATATAAACTTTCAAAACGTAACAAATGGTCCATCGCGAGTGCTGGGCGCAGGGGTGATTCGATCGGAGTGATTTTGATGTCGGTGTGTAGATTAGAGCTTACTGCAGCGAATACAAGTAGTCCAAGTATTTCACTGTAACAGGGGAGAAAAAGGGTGAACCGTCACATTTTGGCTATTTTTATAAGACTGTTCACGTTTAAGTGAACTTGTGTTAAAGCTATTTTTTTAGATGCAGCAAATGATCACAAATGGTGATAAAAAATTAAACCTCGCATTCTTTGGTGAATTTTATGGATAGTCTTTCCTGTAAAGTTTTTATCTAGGAGGCTTCGTTAAAAAGATACAGGGTGTTAAACGTCAAAAAATATTTGTAATTTTTTTAAATAATTTAAAAACTAGTAAGCGAAATAATTTGAAATTGGGCATACCTATGTATTTATGTAAATATTGTCCAAAACCTGAGGGCTTTTTTTAAATTTATATTTTCTAGTGGCGTGAATACAGGGTATCGGTGGCATATTTTTCTAAATAAAATAGTACGTCACTGCTTTACGGTAACAACCATAATATTTTCGGATTCGCCTTTCAATTTTCTACAAATTACTACTCTCTTATGATTTTCGAAAAAAGTCAGATTTTCGTGTAAAACTTAAAAAACGAACTGAGAACACACTTCGATATTCGAATATAATGCTTTTTAAAATTACATAGTAGGCTGCGATTACTACTTTGACATTCTGAGCAATTAGAAGAAAGATTAAATAATGCTTTTTATCATATTCAAGCAGCAATAAATTTCGAACAAATTACATTTTCGTTACTAAAAAGATGTTGGGCCTGTGTTCGTGGAAATGGAGGTATTTTTGAGCATTTATTCAAATAAAATTATTAAAATGATGACTAATATTAATTTCTTTATTCGAATAAATAACCGAATGATTAGTGCTTGTCATGTCATTTAAGTCAGTGTTTTCAGTTGGGTATTTAAGTTTTACTCAAAAATCAGACTTTTTTCAAAAAACATAAGAGAGTAGTAATTTCTATAAAATTGAAAGACGAATCCGAAAATATCATGGTTGTTACCATAAAGCAGTGGCGTACTATTTTATTTAGAAAAATATGCCACCGATACCTTGTATCTCCGCCACTGGAGCATGTAAATTTTAGGAAATGCCCTCAGATTTTGGACAATGTTTACATAAATACATGTGCTCAATTTCAAATTATTTCACTTACGTGTTTCTTAATTATTTAAAAATTAAAAA